GTAGAGGGGAAAGGCCCCCGTGTCCCACATACCATTCTCCCGTCCCCTGACCCAGCAGGTGCTGCCGAGCTGGAATTGGTGTGTGTCGTAGGGGACGCAGACAGCCCAGATGTTCTCCCCAAACACCACTGGCTTGGCGAGCATCAGCAGCGCGATGTCAGAGCCGTCGGTCACATTCACGTAGGCTGCGTGGAGGATGAGCTTCTGTAGGCCCCTCTCTTCTTGCCAGCGTGGCTCTGCCCCCTCCCGCTGCTCACCCAGGAGCACCTTCCAGTCTGTGGGTTCCTGCCGCCTGCAACACAGCCCCCACAGTGGGTTACTAATATGTCAGAGCTGGGAGTCAGGACTTCAGGGTTTGATCCATGGCTCTGGTAGGGGAGTGGTGTCTAGTGGTTAGAGCAGAAGGGGATGGGGGTCAGGACTTCTGGGTTCTATCCCTGGCTCTGGGAGGAGAGTGGGGTCTAGTGCTTAGAGCAGAGGAGGATCGGGGTGGGGGTCAGGACTCCTGGGTTCTATCTCTGGGAGGGGAGTGGGGTCCAGAGGGGAGCTGGGTAGGGCACCCATTACAGACAGTCATTCATCTCTGATAGAGACATGGATACCCTGGGGTGTGTGACACCTCTCCCTCCCTCCCCAACCCCTGCTGGGTCACCCCCACCTCATGCCCCTCACTCACCCGATGAAGCAGTGAGCAGCCGCCAGCACCCAGCTCTCAGAGATCAGTGTTCCCCCGCAGACGTGCTGCCCCCCAGATTGTAGGCTCACGTACCAGGGCCAAGGCCCCTTGGCAGTGACGCTCAGCTCATGTCCCTTCAGCTTCCCGCAACCTGGAGAGATTAGGAGTCAGTAGCCTATTACCTGCCCCTCACTGCCAGCCAGTCCCCCACTCTGGGGCTGGAACAGAACCAGTGCTCCCTAGAGGGGAAAGGCCTCATGTCCCATTCCCCACCTCCCTGAGCCAGCCAGTCCCCTGCCCTGTGGCCAGATCAGAGCCAGCGCCCCCTAGAGGGGAAAGGCCCCATGTCCCATTCCCCACTGGCCGTACCTCTGCATTTTCCATGGTCGCTGCTGAAGGGGGGCGGCACAGTCTGGACAGAGAAGGAGGCTCCCCCCGTGTGGTTCTGGATCCAGCCGGTGTAGGCCGTGACCTCGGTCAGCAGAATGGGGCTGTGGGGCCGGGCACAGCCCACTGAGAAGCTCATGATCCCGGCCTGGAACCACGTCCCATTCTCGGAGCAGGCCACCGGCCCCCCGGAATCACCCTGGGGAGGGATGGGCAGGGAGAGTCAGATTGGGGAGCAAGGTGTGATCCCTTTGCCCCTTCTACCCCCCTCCAAACAAGGGGCAGCCCCTCTGCTCTCCTCCCACAACCCATCTGCTTCCCCTTCCTTCTCTCCAACCCCCTCGCCCAGCCCCGCCCCCAACTTGCAACCCCCTTTCACTCTCACCTGGCAGGGCCCCTGGCCCCCACTCTGAGACCCAGCACAGATCAGCCCTGGCCCGGCAGGGTTGGAGAGCTCCTTCTGGCGCAGGTTATTGTGGATGCAGTTGCAGGTCTCTGCACTGAGCAGGTCCAGCTCCACCTTCTTGAGAGGCTTGGGGGGTGGGAGGGTCACTGCGGGGAGGGAAAGAAGAAGTGTCAGTGCCCTGTTGGGGACAAGCGTACCCCGGGTGGACAGGGGGCTAGATGTCTCCATCTTTGCTGGGAGCTCTCCCCTCTCACTCACTGTCCTCCTTCACCCTGCCCCAGCCGGTGGCCCAGCACTGGGACCCGAAGGCGAATCGGTGGTTGGGGTAGGGCAGGCAGATGGGGCCTACGTCACGGCTGAAGGAGACAGGCTCAGCCAGTCGCAGCAGGGCGATGTCCAAGCCCTTGGTGTAGTCTTTGTACCGCTCATGGGTGATGATCTGGGACACGTTCCGCACTACACCCTGTAACGGGCCACCACTCAGCTGCAGACGCCCTAGCACCACCTTCCAGGAGGATGGGTCCTTGCTCGTGTCTTTCCTGCAGGGAGATAAGAGACAGGGTGTCATTACTGGGCTGGGGAAATGCTGGGTTCTAGACCCTGCTTTTATAGGCTTATTGCTCTGTTGGGGGTACTGAGTTCTAGGCTTGTCCCAGATTGTACACATATATCTAGCTTGCTTCCTGACTCTTGGTGATGCACTTGGTTCTAGGTTAATGGATGTTGATGGTTCTAGATTCCCTGTTCTGGGACTATTGAGTATGATGCACTCTGCTCCAGATTCGTGTCTCTTGGCGGTGTTTATCTTTTTAGATGCATGGCTCTAGACTCGCCCTGGATGACAGTTGTAGATTCATGGCTCTAGGTTCATTCTAGATGGTGCCTGCAAAACTAAATTCATGGCTTTTGCTGGTACTCACTGTTCTACTTTCATGGTTCTAGACCAGTTCTAGACAGTATATAAAATTATATAATTGTGGGTCTAGACTAATTCTAGATGTTGTATACAGCATGAGGTTCTTTGCTCTGGTTTGTACATATTGTTTTAGTTTCCTGTCTCTATGTTTGTTCTAGATGCTGCATGCAGCTCTAGATTCACTGCTTTTGATGGTACACACCTTTCTAGATTTATGTCTCCTTTCTTTACAGATTGTGCATACATATCTAGAGCCACAACTGTAGTTGGTGCACACAGTTTACATGCCCAGCTCTAGGCTCGTTCTAGATGCCGTGCATGGTTCTAGGCTAATTGCTCTGTACTCTAAATCTTTTGAACACCCTTCTAGATGTTGCAGATGCTCTAGATTTCATCTCAGGATGTTGTACTTCTAGACTAACTTCTAGAGTCTCTGGTGTAGGTGGTTTGAGAAAAGGTCACGTCTAGAATCATAAATGTAGGCTTTCTATTCTGGGTGTCACACATGGTTCTAGCTTTCTTTCCCTAGGCTATCCAATAGTCCTGGATGTACAGATCCAATCTCTCTAATCTAGGTGTAAAATACAGTTCTAGATGAACAGCTCTCAACTCCATTCTGGAGACCATGCTGGGTGCTAGAACAGCTCTCTGCCCCTGGATGATGTATGTACTGTTCTAGACTGAGAAATCTGGTGTCCATGGCTATGGATGAGCAGCCCTGTTACTCTCAGCAGTAGATGACACATGTAGTTCTAGCTGCCCCATTCTAGAGGCCATGCAGACTTCTGTCCCCAAGGTTCTAGCTCTGAGGTTCTAGACTTACCCGATGAAGCAGTGAGCAGCTGAAAGAATCCATTTGTCATCGATCAGCGTCCCTCCACACATGTGCTCCCCGCGGAGCTGCAGGCTGGCTTGCCAGGGCCACTCCCCTCTCAGGGCATTGTCCCCACCGACGATCCGGCTAAAGTCTCTCTGCTGGCCACAGACTGGTCCTGTAGAGAGCGGGGAAATTAGTGATCACATAATAATCCTACCCCATATATGAAAAAAACAGAGAGGGAGCTGGTTATTCCAGGAGGGGAGTGGGGTCTAGGGGGTTAGAACTGCGGGGGCTGGGAGCCAGGACTCCTGGGATCTATCCCTGGTTGTGGGAAGTGAGTGGCGTCTAGTGGGTTAGAGCAGGGAGGGTAGGGGGCATGGACTCCCGGGTTCTATCCCTGGCTCCAGGAGGAGAGTGGGGTCTAGTGGGTTAAAGCATGGGGAGGCTGTGTGTGTGTGGTTGTGTGTCACTGCTGTTGTGGGTGTGCGTGATTTTGTCAGCCTCATTCTGCATACTCTTGTGTGTGTCTCACTGTCCTTACATGCCTGGTGGCATGTGTGAATTCCATGCAGCTGGATTGCACTGGACAAAGTCTCTGCAGCATCCGTTGCATGATTTACCAAACCTCCCTTGCCCCTCAGCCTGGAACTCTGGAGCCTTCATGCAAATGTTGCAATGGCTTTACTTGTGTATCCTATTAATATAGACTCATGGAAATGTGGGGCTGGAAGGGACCAGGAGAGGGCATCAAGTCCAGCCCCCTGCACTGAGGCAGGACCAAGTAAACCTAGACCAGCCCTGATAGATGTTTGTCCAGCCTGTCTCCTAAGAAACCTCCAGCGATGGGGATTCCACAACCTCCCTCGGAAGCCCGTTCCAGAGCCCACTCCCCTGAGAGTTAGAAAGTTTTCTTCTAATTTCTAACCTAAATCTTCCTTGCTGCAGATTAAGCCCATTGCTTCTTGTCCTACCATCGGTGGACGTGACGAACAATTGATCACCAGCCTCTGTACAAGAATCCTTAACCTATTTGAAGACTGTTATCAGGTCCCCCCTTAGTCTTCTTTTCTCAAGGCTAAACACGCCCTGTCTTTTGAACCTTTCCTCATAGCTCAGGTGGTCTAAACTTTTCCCAGGTTTTTTGCTCTCCTCTGGACTCTCTCCAATTTGTCCTCATCTTTCCTAAAGTGCGGTACTCAGAACTGGACACAGTCCTCCAGCTGAGACCTCACCAGTGCTGAGCAGAGGGGAACAATGACCTCCCGGGTCTTCCATACGACACTCCTGCTCATACACCCCAGACTGATATTAGCCTTTCTTGCCACAGCGTCACACGGTCGACTCCTATTCTCCCTGTGATGTGCTATAAGCCCCGTAGCCTTCCCAGGAGTACTACACCTAGCCAGTTATTCCCCATTTTGTAGCTGTGTGTTTGACTTTTCCTTCCTACGTGCTGCACTTTGCGCTTGTCCTTGTTGACCTTCCTCTTGTGGATGTCAGCCCAGTGCTCTGGGCATTGACTCATTTGCCGAAGCCTATTGTGAAGTGCATAACTCCTCCTTTCCGGAGCCGCCGTTCCTACTCCCCACCCACCACAGCTCCGGGGCAGATGGAACCAGCCACTCAGGAGCCTGGAGGAGGGCAGCCAACCTCAGGCGCCTCCTATCCCACAAGTTCAGATCAGAGGGATGTTGGGCTTCCTACCTGCTGCCGCTGCTCCTTGCTGGAAGCCTGTAAGGGAGAGAAAACAAGGGTGAGGAGCCTGTGTCAGTAGCCTCTGGGGGATGATTTCCTCTGGAGGGAGGTGCTGGCTCAGCAAGCCCCAGAATCTGACTCCAGGCCAGGCCAGGCCCAATATGTCCAGTGGACTTAGAAGGGAGAACTTACATTTCTGAGGCATCATCTTCTGTGGATTAGAGCTCATGGGTTAGAACATGAGGGGTTGGGAGCTAGGACTCCTGGGTTCCATCCCTGGCTCTGGGAGGACCATGGGGGCTAGTGCGTTAGAGCATGAGGGGCTGGGAGTCAGGACTCCTGGGTTCTATTGCTGGCTCTGGGGAGGGAGTGGGTCTGGTGGTTAGAGCAGGGGAAGGGAGTCAGCAGGACACCTGGGTTCTATTTGCAGTTCTCAGAGGATAAAAAGGCAATAGACTAAAAAACAAAAGGCTCTAAAGCCCAAGGACACTTAAGGGGGTGGGGGAATATGAAATGGTTAAAAACCCAACAAAATCACCTGGGTGAAAGAAAAGGAAACCGTTTTTAAAAAGTAACAAGCAAATATTGGTATTGTGCTTACAAACACATAGGGCCGTGCGCTAGGGGGCGCCCTCCCCGGGCAGTCAGTGCTGGCGCCAATGCCCCAGTGCACCACTAGGGGGCGCTGTGCTGCAGGGAGCAACTCGGTAGGGGACGCTTTCCCCTGGCAGTCAGTGCTGGTACCGATGGCTCAGTGTGGCACCAGGGGGCGCTGTGCTGCACACAGCAGGAGGGTGGGGGGCTCAGTAGGGGGAGCTCTCCCCTCGCTGCAGCCCCGCAGTGTGGCACCAGGGGGCGCTGTGCTGCACGCAGCAGGAGGGTGGGGGGCTCAGTAGGGGGAGCTCTCCCCTCGCTGCTGCCCCCCAGTGTGGCACCAGGGGGCGCTGTGCTGCACGCAGCGGGAGGGTGGGGGGCTCAGTAGGGGCGCCCTCCCCTCGCTGCTGCAGGGAATGGGGGCTCAATAGCAGTGGTGGGATGTTAATGTGAACAGTGACTGCACCTTGCCTGGCTCGGTCCCCTCTGGATTCCCCTCTAGGAAGCTCTCACCTCCTGGGTGGAGGTGCCTCATGTGGGTGCGGTCCAGGGGGCACGGTGCTCATCTACCAGTGCTGGGATTTCCATGGCCCCATCTGGCTCTGTATCCTGCCCGCTCCAGCAGTGATGTATCCGAGGAAGTTGCCATCTCCCCACTCTGTTGCTGAATGTCTCTTGCACCACGGTGTTTGACAGAGAGGAAGCTCTTCCTTCCTGTTCCCACTCACAGGCAATTCCTTTCTGCCCTGGAGCATGGGAGTGGCACCACTCCACCAGCAAATCCCCTACAGGCAGCAGCTTCCCCTCAGCCTGATGGATCCCCGTGGGCTATGAACTGCACGGGGGTGACGGACTGTCATGCACCCCCCCAAGCCCCCTAGTTTGTGCTCCCCGCAGCCTGGGCTGCACGCCCAGTTGGCTGTCAGCTCAAGTCTCACTCTAGTGCAATCCTCTGATGCATCAGCAAAGCAATTATAATAGGGCACTATCATGAAGACTGGGGCCAATTATTCCAAGTGCTCCAGTATCCACAAACAGACGCCGACTGGCTTGAAAACGGCTGTACCTCATGAGGTGGGGTATTTGAGGTCATCCCGAAATATCGCCCCCTAAAAAATCACCCAACAGCGACAACTTCCAGCTTCTACCGCTTTGTTTGTGCACCACCTAGCGGTGAAACGGTGGCTCTCATCGACCTCAAAACTGATCTCCCCCGCTAAGGTTGGAGCTCAGCTCCTGCCCCCTTTGGGGAAGCGAGAGTGACAAAAGTTATCCTGGCTCAATGTTAGCTCTCCAGTGTGTCTGGAGGCCAAGCAAGGAGCCAGGGGGAGAAAAAAATCTTTGGCGTGTGCACTGCAGGATTTGGTGACTAGCTGTGATAGGAAACCTCATCAGCACCTACGTGCTTGGAGTCTGAGCCCTGTCTTCTGTACAGACTATTTTTGGTAATGTTTCCTGGAGACCAAAGTTCCTGGTTTCGGAGTTGATATTTCAAAATTCTGAGAAACGTCAAGCATGAGGAAGCAGGTTGCTTAACGCCAGGACGGGAACTCCTAATAGACAGTCCTAGACTCGGTCTACCCTGGGGTGGGGTGGGGGTTGACTTAAGATACGTAACTTCAGCTACGCGAATAGCGTAGCTGATGTCAGCATATCTTAGGTCGATTTACCTGGCTGTGAGGACGGCGGCGAGTCGACCGCTGCCGCTCCCCTGTCGACTCCGCTTCTGCCTCTCGCCATGGTGGAGATCCGGAGTCGATGGCAGAGCGATCGGGGATCGATTTTATCGCATCTACACTAGACACAATAAATCGATCCCCGATAGATCGATCACTACCCGTCGATCCGGCGGGTAGTGTAGACATTCCCCTAGTCTAAGGACTGGCATACAGTTGCCATTGACCAGGATCCTGTCCTCAATCAAAGCTGCAACTTCCGTTGATCATGGAAAAGTAAACCCCCAAACCAGATTCCAGCTGTCTGCAAGAACTCATCCAATCTGCACAAACCCAAGGACCGTCCTGATCGATTTCACCCTTCCTTGGGCTGTAGTTCCTTGGAAAACGGTGTTCCAAAGGACTTATCGGACCCTAGAAACATTTTCGGCACGGTCAGCCCCCTTTCTTGTGCTGTCATTGCAGAGAATTGCACATGCTCTTTTTGGATCCAACTTAGTCCAAGGGCGAGGTGCCTGAGTCATGCTCCCGCCTCGATTTAATTAATATGCCTTTCCAGCGGAATGCTTGCGACATAGAGACTCGGGGCCTGCACGTGGATGTGAGAACACCTCAAAAGAGCAGCTCTCAAAGCAGAAACTTTGGCAAAACTCCCCCAAACAAGTCTCGGCAGAATGATGTTAGATAAGGATGCTGATAACTTTGGGGAGGGTGCAGAGAAGAGCCGTGAGAATGATTAAAGGCTGTGAAAACCTGCCTCATAGTGAGATGCCCGAGGAGCTCAACCTATTTAGCTTAACAAAGAGACAGTTAAGAGCTGACTGTCTATAATGACCTACATGGGGAGCGAATATTTGATAATGGGCCCTTCAGTCAAGCAGAGAAAGGTTTAACAGGATCTAATGGCTGGAAGTTGAAGCCAGACAAATTCAGATTGGAAATAAGGTGCAAATTTTTAACAGCGAGGGGAATTTAATCAATGGAACAATTTACCAAGGGTGGATTCTGCATCCCCGGCTATTTGTAAATCAAGAGTGGATGTTTTTCTGAGAGATCTGCTGTAGTTCAAGCACTGAAGTCAGACCACTAGGCTACATCTACACTACTGCCGGGATCGACTCTCTGATATTGATCCACCGGTGGTCAATTTAGCGGGTCTAGTGAAGACCCACCAAATCGACAGCAGATCGCTCTGCCGTCAACCTCTGTACTCCACCCCCAACGAGAAGAGTAAGGTAAGTCAATGGGGGAGTTTATCCCGTCAACCCCCAGTGGTGTAGACTCCACAGTAACTCGACCGAAGGTACGTCCACTCCAGCCATAGCTGGAGTTGTGTAGCGTGGGTCGACTTACCGCAGTAATGTAGACATCAGACTCTAGGTTCTAGTGATGTGGAATCTATGAATGCAAGTAATATACACCAGTGGTTCCCAAGATGTAGTCCGCAGATCACTGAGGGGCCGGCGGATTATGTCTAAGGGGTTCACAAAGACTTAAACTGACTGAACAGAATTCAACTCTATGTACACAGACAATAGATTTCCCAAGGGGACTGCAGCTCCCTTTGACATTTTGTAGGGGTCTGCAAATGAATAAAGGTTGAGAACCACCCATGTATGTAACACACGTTCTCAGAAAGCTTCCAAGAGCAGGACTGAAACTCTTAGTGCATGGGCGATACTCAGATACGCTAGCCACAGCACGTCGTCTCCAGCCACCTGGCCGTGTGCATTCTGGTGGCCAGCAAAGCCCCAGTGTGGCCGCACACACAACTTTCTCTGGCTCATCAAAAGTTCGCGGGGCGTTTCCTGTCTACCTGGCCAGTGCATCTGAGTTGAGAGTGCTGTCCAGAGCGGTCACAATGGAGCACTTTGGGATAGCTCCCGGAGGCCAATACAGTTGAATTGCGTCCACACTACCCCAAATTCGATCCGGCAAGGCCAATTTCAGCGCTAATCCCCCCGTCAGGGAGGAGTACAGAAATCAAGTTTAAGAGCCCTTTAAGTTGACAAAAATGGCTTCGTCGTGTGGACGGGCGCAGGGTTAAATCGATCTAACGCTGCTAAATTCGACCTAAACTCGTAGTGTAGACCAGGGCTTGGAGTTCCAACCTTTACCCTGATTAGCCTTGTCGGTGCTGGGCACCAGCTGAGATCGATGCTGAGCAGAGGAGGTCAGTTCGGAGGTGGATCAGAGCCATTGTTTAAGCCCTGGGTGTGGCTGAAAAAGTTACAAGAACTGTAAAAGAGCTCAGTCTACTAAGCTTAACAAAGAGAAGGTTTCAGGGGTGACTTGATACCATGTACCTACACGGGGAACAAATATTTGATAATGGGCTCTTCAGGCTAGCAGAGAAAAGTCTAACACGACCCACCGGCCGGAAGCTGAAGCTAGGTAAATTCAGACGGGAAATAAGGTGTACATTTTTAACGGGGAGGGTAATTACCATCGGAACAATTTGCCCAAGGTCGTGGTGGATTCTCCATTGCTGCATTTTTTGAATCAAGATTGACTTTCTCCAAGAGATCTGCTCTAGGAATTATTCGGGGGCAGGTCTCTGGTCTGTGTTCTCCAGGGAGGTCAGACTAGATGATCACAATGGTTTGGGAATCTGTGAATCCATCCGCCATTAACGGGAGCCGGAGTCGCATTAGGCCACTGGCGAGGGTGCTAGAACTGGGGTTGGGGAGGGCTGGGTTTTCGTAACGGAGGGAGCTCAGGGCCGTGGGAAAAGGGACCAGGGAGGAGATCGCGTGAGAGGCAGCTGGCTGGGAGTTGGAAGCCTGGACCCAGAACCAGAGCCAGGGGAGCTGGAGGGAGATTTGCAGGGGCTGTGGAGAGGATCTGCAGGAAGGGGAAGGCTCCTGCCACAGCCCCGGTGGAGGGGAGCTGGCAGGGAGGCTGTGCTGTGCGATAAGAGCCAAGAAGACCTGTGGAGGCACGAGGCTGAATCCCGACAAGGAGCCCCGAGGAAGGAGGGCGGGGGTGGGAAGGGAGCCTGGGAAACCCAGGGTGGGACAGTTAGACGGTAAAGACTCCAGGAGCTGGGGCATCTCACAGTAGCAGGCCAGGC